CACTCTTATTTAATTCTCAGCGTTTTGCTTCGGACTTAATGTTTCCTTTGCCCCCGTTCCCGCGTTTATGCGTATAACATGGACATAACAGGCGTCAAATTCAGTTAAACAGGGATTTCGATTTCTACTGAACATGTAAAAGGAGAATAAACGATTTAGGTCACAAATGTAACTATTGACTTAAGTCTAACGTGGTGAGAGGGAGATATTAAACTGTCTTAAGAGAATATATGGTTAGGATGTCTAATATTAACTAACTTTATGAGCCCAGTCCTTCTTGGGAAGGCACCAGTTGCTCAGTTACTCAAGAATTTCCAAACATCTTATGGAATCTCTGGGTTCATTACCGTTTTCACAGATCCCGAAAATAATAATCATTTTAATAATTTTAGAACAGTTTCTGTTGGGCCGAGAGTATGAAATCTGCTATTTTGGCCCCACTACTGCTGTATAAATTTCAAAATATAGTGCCCTATATAGGTGGATTTTTTTTAAGTTCAGTGATAACATAAGTATTTAAAGTAAAATTTTGTGCAAAAGCGATAAATTTTGCATTTAAGTGAGGACGAGTGTTATAAGTAGAACTAGTTTCCATATTTGTTTAAATTTCGATATGTTCACTGAGTATTCACAAATTATGATGTATTTCTGATACAGTCAGATATATATAATCATAGCATTCTAGCTGTAATGTAAATACGTGCATATAGTAACAGAGTACAAGTCATGTTTCTCTTTTTGTACATTAATTATTCAGTGCGTCTATTAGTTCGGATGCATCGTACACAAACTGAACTATATATATAGTAGGATTGTATAATGCCAGAGAGTGGAACAATCATGGCTATTATCACGCTGCAAAAGGAATAATGTAATTTAGAGGTACCGTTGGTTCTGGCGTCAAGTGAATGCAGAGGTTCATAGTGATTCACGTCCAAGTGTGGAAAAGTGACATCAGCAAATCGGACTTGATACGTGATGCATCGCATTTGCTCACTCGCGATAGGGACCACTTCACTGGTATACGCTGACTCTTGCCTGACGCCCCAAGGCCCCTCATGCGGGTTTGTACACTGCAGCAAATATCACAGAATATGCTATGACACACGAAAACATTCCGAGAAAGCCAACGTACTAGTATTACCATCATTTTCCGAAATCTGCTGAGAAGATTAAGGTATGAGGTTTTCAAGGAAAGAAAAGAACACACAGCGTTGAGGAAATTGGATCTGTTTCCATTCTTAGATGAGACGGCGGTGAGGTGTCGACTCGTTTGGATCCGTTAAAAATACACTGCTTTTTCATAATAGAAGAGCTACAAAGTCCTGAAACTCAGTAATCCGAAGCATAATACACGTACT